CCCCCGGACCCCCGGACCCCCGCCGGGGCCCCGGGGCCGGGGCTCGACAACCCTGGTGACAGCTCAGCTTTCTCACGGCACGAGTTAAATCTTCTGCCGGGTGCAGTGCATCCATAGGTGTGATGCACACAGGAAGATACGTCGTATGATGTTTGCGCTTGTCCCACATTATGTGTTGAGCATTTGAGTTGATCTGTCTTAGCTCGTCCCTCAATTGCTCAACTGCGCCAAGAATCTCATGCACGAAAAGCTTGAGGAAGTACGGACATTCCATATATATTGCAGTCGTCACCTTGTACCCCCCGACATTTCCTTTTCTTAGTTTTGCCTCATCCACGCCGCCCAATCGTTTCGGGACATCGATAGTCTTCTCTGCCACGATCTTGGACTTGGTTTCTTCCCATTTCTCTGTCGTCAACCCTCGTGGTGCAAACCGCCTCATTATGGTATCGTAGCCAATGAAGAACTTGTCATTCCACTCCCCCTCCGACCTATGCTCTATCTTGAAGAGGACATAGTTAAACATGCGAACCATATATCTCTCCCTTCTCACCTCCACGTACAAGTCTTGCATGTTCATCAGTTTTTTCACAAATGCCCTTCCGCTCGTGACGACAACGTGTCCCGCAAGTATTTTCTTGAGGGCCATCTCCTTCTCCCTTGATGTGAAATCGCCGAACACCTTCCATGCGCTCGCGGGGGAATCATTGATGCAAACATAGAAACCCGGTGAGCTTTTGTTGGACTGGACGTAGTGCACCAACATTTTTTTGCCTTTCACCGTTTTCGCTGCAGGGCCCGGTCCTGCCACCTCACCTACTTTCCCTTCCTGATCCACTGGTCTCACGCCGTCCTGCCCTGGAAGTTCGCTTTTTTCTCATTTGTCAAAGAACTTCTCAACCAGATTCCACACAACCCTGCCGCTCGTCGCAAGACACATGTAGGGCCTCAAAAGGTTTGACCAATTCCTCACAAATCTTTTCGCCAACGACTGGTTCCAGAGCGAGGTGTCAGGAGTCATCCGTATAGCTTTCCGTACGAACTCCTGATATTGGTCACGCTATGCAGTCCTCTCTTCCACCATCTTTGCCTAATGCCAATCACCTTTTGGCTCTTTCATACTCTGCCGCAGTCCTCTTATAGGAGTCACAGCCATTCGAAACGATGACGGGATAGCACGTGTCTCCCTGGTGTTGTCAAACGTGGAGATGTACGCATACCCCTCCAAATGGTCGTCGTCAAAAAACACAACCCGCGCCTTCCAAGAATGCACGCCCTGCTTGTGGGCAGCAGACGATTTTGCAGCGACCAGCCTCTTTGCTGCCTCCGCTATATGTTGGTCGGCCACTGTGTACCAATGGTAGGAGGCAACCTTGTCATCATCCCTGTCCTCCGGCTTCACACGTTCCCACCGCTTCCGGCCATCCCTCTCCACTTCAACAACATGAGCAAGAATCCAGGTGTTTCTGTCCCACTCCTTCTGCTTTTCGGGGTATTCCATTGCGTCCCTGATGGAGGTGACCGACATCTCGTTCAACGGCCTGTGGTTGTATTGCACGCCTTCCGAAGGGTTGGGCAGTATTTTGGCCACATCAACGAAAACTTGGGTAGGCCGATCTATCGCATTCCCGTCCTCGTCGTATTCCAGGAAAAAACATTTTGTGGTGTCGATAGTGTCGTTGGTCAACTCTCCAGGCTTTGACATTGTATGTCTCGGGTCGACCTCCGCCGCTTTGTCCCCAGAGTCTGCCACTTCCTTTGTCTCTTCGGTCTTTGCTTTCTTCTTCAGCCTCTGGGAAGATTGAGTGCGTTCACGCTTTTCCTTTGCTGGTTTAGCGGATTGCGCCTCTAAGGATCTCTTGTAAGCCTCCTTTGAGGCCTGTAGGCTGATGAGCTTAGCTTGTCTCCGCTTCTCTTCCTCTGCTTTCCCACATCTCATTTTCCTCTTGTGCATGCACATAGACCTCTGTGTGCCATGCAACACATCGTCATCTTCTGCCGGACCATCATGACTATTGCCACGGAAAGACTGTTCCCGCCTTTCCTGCGACCCTCTATTCCCGTTGTCATCGTCGTCCGCCCCACCCTCATCTCCTTCGCTCCCCCCTTCGTAGCTGTCCTCTCGTTCTGCGGCCTCCTGGTCACTTGCATCCTCATTTTCTTCTTCTTCACTCCCATCGTCTTCGTGACCATCATCCTCTTGGCTTTCACTATCGTCGCCTTCGGCCAAGTCATCCTTCAAGCTTCCCCCTTCATCGTGTGTACCGTCGCTGAACTGCTGTTCGTCGTCGTCCCCTTCCGTGTCTTTCGCGTCATTGCCATCGGCCCACCGCCCACCGTCCCACTGTCTGAAGCGCGAGTCCTCCTCTGTGTTTTCGTCGTCATCCTCATGGTCAGTGACCCCACCAGCCGGAGTCAAAGAAACGCGTGCCACATAGTCTGCATGTGATGGTGCCCACGTCGCAGACACACCCTTCGGTTGGAGCAGAGAAGCTGATTTGCTCACGCTCTTTGCCGGTGTCGATGCGGCCCCACTTTTTCTCATACGGGCGGATGTTTTCGGCTCCCCACAACTCTTGCCTACCACCTGTGGCAAGCTCACAAACATGGTAGTTCGCAAAACGACTTGGCCCATCGCCTGCAGCTTGTGCCGTCGCACCATGTCTGCAAAGTCTCCAAGATCACAGTCGAACGGCACGAAGGGAGTTGACAACTGCAGCTTGTTGTCAATCGCCACGATATGGCCGGACAACTTATAGCAATTAATGCGTTTGAGGAACTCGAATGGCCTTAGCATCACCATCTGCGAGGCATCCTTCTTCTTCGACTTGTCGAACGGCGGCATTGATGCAGCCCGGATGCCGTAACCTTGGAACTTGTCGACTTGGAGAGACACGAGCTTGTAGTTGTCAGGCACCTCGTGACCATTGCTGTCGAAACACGTCGTCAAATGGAATCTCATGTACTCCTCGTCAAGCATGTTCTTATCAAACGAGTAAGTCTTGATACCCCCGCACGGGTAGTAACTGCCACTCTCATCCCACAAGAAAATGCATGGCCCGCAACAGGGGACCTTCATACCGAGGCGCCAATCGATTGCCCAATACTTCCCTTGGAACGTGACCGCCCTTCCGACAACCTTCGGCGTTGAGACCCCTGACGAGCAAGCAGCTGCATAACATCAACACCGCAGCCAACACCAACACGCTTGTAATGTCTGCGTAACCTTTGCCTGTAACATCCCTCACAGCATCCGGAGAAGAAGAGGAAGATGAAGGAAAGGAAGCAGGAGGAAGGGGAAGGAGGGTCTGGTGACGCCAGGCCCTCCGATGGTCCGGCGGATCGACGGCGCCGATCTTTCGGAGGGCCTGTGCAACCTCTGCCTGCAATCTGTCGCACTGTGTAATGCCGACAATATGGCGGCAGGCCCTGTTCAACCGCTGTCCGTAATCTCGATGTAATGTCTGCCTGTAATGTCTGTGTAACATCCACGTGCAATCCCGACACAACCCCTGCCTGTTATTTCTCACACTCTCCAACCTCTGCCTATAAGCTCTCTCCCTGTGCAACGTCGACCACGAGGCGGCAGGCCCTGTGTAACCTCTGCCTATAATCTCTGTCACAGCACCCGGAGAGCAAGAAGAAGAGGAAGGAAAGGAAGGAGAAGGAAGGAGGGTCTGGTGACGCCGGGGGCCCTGATGGTCTGGCGCCCCGACGACGCCGGACCATCGGAGGGATGCAGCACCGTGTATCCTCTGTGCATCCGGACAACAAGCCGTCTATCAGCACGGATAGACGAACCCTCTGTGCATCCTTTGTGCATCCGGGCAACAAGCCGGATAAACGAATCCTCTGTGCATGCGGACAACAAGTCGTCTAGCGTTCGAACAACATGGTGTCGACAACGGCTCCCAGCAACATCAGCAGTAGTTCCAAAACCAGCATCAACATCAACAGCAACTGCACCCCATATGGCCCGGCGTCGTCGAGGCGCCAGACCACTGGAGGGTCCGGCGCCTCGACGACGCCATACCATCGGATGGCCCGGCGCGGTTTCGAACAGCAGCAACCCCATAGCGGTATCGTACAGCAGCAGCAGCACCACCAGGAATATAGCGGCATCGAACAGCAGCAGCAGCAGCTGCACCAGCTACAGCATAGCGGTATGGAACAACAGCATAGCGGTATGGAACCAGTCCTCCTCCTCCTTCTCCTCCTCCTCCTCATCATCATCATCATCCTCCGCCGCACGGCTTCTTCGCCCCTCCCCCTCGTCATCCTCGTTCTCGTCCTCCTCTCCCTACTCTTCGCACTCCTCCTCCTCCTCTTCCTCGCCGGCCTCGCCCTTTTCCTCCTCGTCCTCCTCCTCCTCCTCTTCCTCCTCCTCCTCCTCCTCCTCTTTCTCCTCCTCCTTCTCCTCCTCTTCCTCCTCCTCCTCCTCCTCTTCGCACTCTTCACATTCCTCCTCCTCCTCTTCTTCCTCCTCTTCCTAACGTTTCAGGTTTCAATCGGCAGCAACTACGGACCACGAAAGTCACAAGAGAAACTCCAAACGCACTTTTTTCTTTTTTTTTTCAACCGGCCGAATCAATCCATCAATAACAAAAAAAAACAACTCATTTACGGACTACCGAATCGATTGTTTCAATTGGATCTTTATTTCAAGATCCGATCGAATCAGGTTTGAATCGGCAGCAAGTACTCTTCCTCCTCCTTCTCTTCCTCCTCCTCCTCCTCCTCCTCCTCCTCCTCCTCCTCCTCCTCTTCGTTCTCCTCTTCCTCCTCCTCCTCCTCCTCCTCCTCCTCCTCCTCCTCCTCCTCTTCCTCCTCCTCCTCTTCCTCCTCCTCCTCCTCTTCGTCCTCCTCCTCCTCCTCCTCCTCGCCGTCCTCCCCCCTCTCCTCCTCGTCCCCCTCCTCCTCCTCTTCCTCCTCCTCCTCCTCCTCCTCCTCCTCTTCCTCCTCCTCTTCCCGGCGTTTCAGGTTTCAATCGGCAGCAACTACGGACCACGAAAGTCACAAGAGAAACTCCAAATGCACTTTTTTTCTTTTTTCAACCAGGCGAATCAATCCATCACAGAAAAAAAAAAAAAAAAAAACAATTCATTTATGGACTATCGAATCAACTGTTTCGATTGGATCTTTATTTAAAGATCCGATCGAATCGATCGATTCGATTGGATTGTCGGAGCCAATCAATCAATTATTCAATCAATCAATCAATCAATCAATCAATCAATCAATCAATCAATCAATCAATCAATCAATCAATAAAAAAACAAACCAAAAAAAAAGTGACTAATCAATATTGAGTTCGAAAAGGCAAAAAAAAAAGAGTTAAAAAAAAAAAAAATCCATGACACATTGGTCATGGCGCAAGTTCAATATGCGCATTTCAGTAAAAAAACAACAATAATGACTTTATAAGTTTTACACATTTTTTCATTTTTTTGAATCGCGTGGTTCCGGCGTTTTAGGTTTGAATCGGCACCAACTAGTTCTCCTCCTCCTTCTCCTCTTCCTCTTCCTCCTCCTCCTCCTCCTCCTCCTCATCATCATCATCATCATCATCATCATCATCATCATCATCATCATCATCATCATCATCCTCCGCCGCCGCTTCTTCGCCCTCCTTCCCCTCGTCATCCAGGTTCTCTTCCTTCTCTTCCTACTCTTCGCACTCCTCCTCCTCCTCTTCCCCGCCGGCCTCGCCGTTTTCCTCCTCGTCCTCGTCCTCCTCTTCCTCCTCCTCCTCCTCCTCCTCCTCCTCTTCCCGGCGTTTCAGGTTTCAATCGGCAGCAACTACGGACCACGGAAGTCACAAGAGACACTCCAAACGCACTTTTTTCCTTTTTTTTTTCAACCGGTCGAATCAATCCATCAATAACAAAAGAAAACAACTCATTTATGGACTATTGAATCGATTGTTTCGATTGGATCTTTATTTCAAGATCCGATCGAACCGATTGATTCGATTGGATTGTCCGAGCCAATCAGTCGATCAATCAATCAATCAATCAATCAATCAATCAATCAATCAATCAATCAATCAATCAACCAACCAATCAATCAATCAATCAATCAATCAATCAATCCGATTGGACACGTTCATTTCCGACTGATTTAAAAAAAAAAAAAAAAAAAAAGGATCAACCAATCAATGAACAACGAAAATGGGGTAAGGGAGGGAGGATAGACGAGTAGGCTTGGCGTCATACCTCTGCGAAAGGCAGGCGCAGGCACGGAAACGGTCAACGGCGATGGAGGCAACTTAGGCGAAATGCAGGCCCTGGCATAGAATGGCTGAACTGTGATGTGCACGTGAGCAGTGGCCACAAGGATTCCCATTCCCAGCTTCGGCATCAATCTGCGCTGGTCTCACAACGCCGACCGAAACTGCAGCCGGGTACCAAATGTGGGAAAAGCAGGTGGCAAAGGGAAAAAGGGCGAGGCCCGAAACCGAAAAAAAAAGGTCTGGCCCGAAACGAGGCCTGCACCACGCACCGTTTCTAGGTCCACGTGCAGGCCCGAAACGACACCTGTCCTGAAAAAAAAAACGAGGCCCGGACTCACGAATCGACGAGAGGCAGGGCTGCACAGGGAAGGAAAAACACCCTAACCCCCGCGGGCATGTTCATTTCGCATCCGCGCGAAACCGTGAGCCCGACGAAACGCCATTCCTCCTCCTCCCTCCATTGCGCCCTACGCTTGCGCCATTGCGGCCTGCGCTTGCGCCATTGCGAGCTGCGTGTGCGCCACTGCGAGCTGCGCCAACGACAACTGCGAGTTCTGTGTGCGGCATTGCGAGCTGCGCGTGATGGTACCATCTTCTTTTAACAACACCTTAACGCAGCGCCTTCTCGGGACGCCTTCCCACGGTGCCTTTGAGCAGCTGTGTGCCCTCTCGGGGCGCCTTTGCACGGTGCCTCCTCCCAGCCGAATGCCTTCTTATTGCACGGTGCCTTCGAGCAGCCTTTTCAACAACAAACAGGCTAGCTGCGAACCTCAGCAGTCGTCCAGGGGCCTTCACGCAGCAGCGGGCGGGCACAAAGTTGCCGTCACCTTTGAGAAGGTGAGTTTTCTTTGCCTACCACTTTTAAGCCCTCAAGGCTTCGGTCCTGAAGCTGTTGTTTTTTTAGTGTTCTTGTTGTAAGGAACCTGGCAGGCCTTTTTTTTGTTTTAAGGTCGGGCGGCCGTTTCTTTCCATGACATTACGTATCTTTCGCCATTCCACGTCCGCGTTTGTTTTTGCATTCGTCCAGAAGAAGTGTGTCCCTTTTAAAGGTCTCATGTTTTGAAAAAGGTCATTGTTTTTAAAGGTCTTATGTTTTCAAAAAGGTCTTTGTTTTTAAATGTCTATTGTTTCGAAAAGGTACTTCTTTTTTAAGGTCTCACGTGTTCTTACCCTTCATTTCAATAAATGTGTCAGTTCTGGTAAAAGAGTACATGGGCTGCACGAGTCGGTATTGTTCGGGGAAGACGCTCGTCAAAACAACTTATATTACAGAACACACATATCAGGAGCTTTGTTTATGTTCCTGCCACTTTGCACCTATGTTTCATAAACGACTTTCTGTTATGGAACATTCAGGCTCGCGGAGTGGTCAGCGGCTGCCAAGGGTAATGTACACGGTCACCTGGAATGGAACCACGCAATGCTGTGGCCCGGCGTCCCAGAGGATCCGGCAAGAACCATCGCATGTGCACGGCGTTTCGGGTCGCCGGACCATACCATGTCTTCGCCGACGCCTCCTGGATACGGACCATGCCACGGCATGGTCCGGCGCCTCCGGGACGCCGGACCATGGCACGGTGTCGTCCTGGGGGCGTTGTCAATTCGGGGACGGCGGACCATGCCATGCTGTGGTCCGACGGCCCGGGGACGCCGGACCATGCCATGGTATGGTCCGGCGGCTCCGGGACGCCGGTCCATACCATGGTATGGTCCGACGGCTCAGAGACGCCGGTCCATGCCATGCTATGGTCCTGCGGGCTCGGGGACGGCGGACCATGCCATGGTACGGTCCGGTGGCCCGGGGACGCCGGACCGTGCCATGGAATGGTCCGGCGGCTCGGGGACACCGGACAATGCCGTCGTATGGTCCGGCGGCTTGGGGACACCGGACCATGCCGTGGTATGGTTCGGCGGCTCCACGGCGCCGGACCATGTCACGGTATGGTCCGGAGTCCCCGAGCCATCGGACCATACCATGGCATGGTCCGCCATCCACGAGCCAATCGACCCTGCCATGGCATGGTCCGGGGTCCCTGAGCCGCTGGACCCTGAGCCGCCGGACCATATCATGGCATGGTCCGCCGTCCCTG